TGAGCATTGACCTATGAGTCAGAAGGTCATGGTTTGATTCCCAGTCAGGGCACATGCCTAGTTTGCAGCCTTGATCCCTGGTAGGGGACATGCAGGAGGCAGCTGATGGATGTTTCTCTCTCGTCAATGTTTCTATCCCTCTTCCTAAACTCAATAAAAACATATTTTTTAAAAAAATGGCAGCCTGGGCTCCATCCCAGAGTGGTGGCATCCACTTTAGATGGGGCAGGGGCTTCCTGGTTTGCGAATCTTCATCCAGCTGCCTCTTGCATTTACATTTTCTGCCTGGTCTTTGCCTCTGTGACCCCTGCCTTAGAGTAATCTTTCCTCTTTATCCCGTAGATCCAGGCTGCCACCAAGTCGTGTTGTTTCTTCCTTCAAAGTATCTCACATTTGTTCCTCTCTCTTTATTATTAATCCATCATCCCAGACCAGGCACTTAGCATTTCATGATTAGATTTCTCTAGGAGCCTCTTAACTGTCTGCCAGCCAACCCTACATCGCCACAGCTAGCTACTCTTTTGGTTGTTCTGACATTGCAGCCATGCAGAAGAGTACAGTTGTGTCGAATGTTGCTTCAGATTTCTCTGTCTCCTCTTCCAGTCTCTGGCTTCTCTAGAAAATTCTAAGCAGAGCAGAATGAAATAGTTATGAGTACTTTTTCAGTTCCCTACAAGCTGCTGTGATCATGCGTCCTTTGTTTCTTTTTATGTGAGATATTTGTAAATTGAGGGCTTAAACGGTGAGGGGACACATGCCACTTTTCTCAGTGAAAGATTTTGTGAAGTAGAATTTTAAGTGGAGTGGAGAAAAAATAGGACAGAGAATATTATATTTGAGACATTATGCTATCAGATGATCCTCAGGGGTGGTGAGTAATTACTGGGGTTGGTGATAATGGTGAAGGGTGGTAATAGGAACAGAAGGAAGCAGTGTATGTACCTGGGAAAACAGGCCAAGTGTGGAAGAGCCATGGATGCCATTGGCACCTTCCTGGACACTTACAGAGGTGCAGGTCCAAGTGTGGATGGAGCAGACAGGTGAAAATGGGCGCACTTGGAGCTTGAATCATCTTGAAGATAAATTCTCCTTACAATTCTGAAATTCTTTCTTAGGGATCACTGGCTCTCCATGAAGGTTTTCCATAGAAAAACTACTCTTCTAGACTATCTTTTCACAAAATATATTTCTGGCCCCTTAGAGCACATTAGCAGTTCAACTTTTATTTATTTTATTTTTAAATATATTTTTATTGATTTCATAGAGGAAGGGAGAGGGAGAGAGAAAGATACAAACATCAATGATAATCATTGATCGGCTGCCTTGAGCCCACAATCCCAGGCATGTGCCCTGACCGGGAATCAAACCAGTGATTCCTGGTTCATAAGTTGATGCTCAACCACTGAGCCACTGCAGTCAGGTCCAGTTCAACCGTTAGACTACATATCTAGACAGGTAAGTTAGAAGCTGAGATCTGATTAGAAAATATTTTAAATTTAAAAACTTTTTAACTCTAAAAGAAAGCATTGTGTGAGGGCGAAGTAAAACCCCTCGACCTTTTAAACAATAACAGCAGCTCTTTAAGGATATGGAAGGCGAACTGGACCAAAGCCCAGCCGGTGCAGCTCAGTGGTTGGGCACTGACCTATGAACCAGGAGGTCACCGTTCCATTCCTGGTCAAGGCATGTAGCCAGGTTGTGGGCTCCATCCCCAGTGTGGGGCGTGCAGGAGGCAGCCAATCAATGATTCTCTCTTATCATTGATGTTTCTATCTCTCTCTCTCCCTCTCCTTCCTCTCTGAAATCAATAAAAACATATTAAAAAAAAAAAAGGACCTAAGGTCTAGAACTGGACTGTGTGCTGCTACATAAAGAGAGGGAAGTAAGGCAGGGGAGGGGTGTGGCCACATGAGCAATAATGGGGGTTTGACCTGTTTTCAGGATTCTATCTCTCCCTTGCTGGGGTTAAAAGAAATAATGCAGAATTTAGTAAAGTCTTTGTCTTCAACACATTCACTATGTTTCTCTTTTTACACTGCTTCCTCCTCTCCTTTATTGAAATGCTGCATTTGAAATGTATCTTTTCTGCCTCCTTTTATCTCATTTTCCATGGCTGTTTTCCTGCCTCTGACGGCAGGTTCTCTTGGACCTGTCTGTCTTGTGTGCAGGAGAGAATGGCATATAATCAAAACCCCGTTCTGCAAGTCAGGTTACCCAGGCAGAGAGAAGACTAGGTGTTTTATTTCTCTGGAGTCTTACAGGCCTGGAGGCACAGTCTGGTGCAGAGCAAACCTGAGGGTCCAGAGTTAGCTGCAGAATCAGCTAAGCCATAAAGCTGCTGCGTGCTGAACTGGGAGGCAGGTTGCAGCATCGAGGCTTGTCATGAGATCAGCATGAGTCTAAATCCCATGGTGGTTTCAGGACCCAGCGAGGGTCTTGAGGTTCCTTTGGCCTGAGTGTGGCTGAGGTCAGGATTTCTTTCCACTAAGGGACAGGGCAGCTTGGAAACCACAGCAGCTTCTTTCAGCGAACTGGTCCGATGCTCCACAGCTTCGTTTTGGATCAGAAATGAGGTGTGTGGGCTGGTCCTGTCCCAGAAGGAACTATAGACAGTGTCTGCGAAGGAGGCATTATCAACCTCACAGAGAGAAAGTTGGATCTTATCTGGCTCAGGCCAGCAGGATCTTTAGATTTCCCAGGCATTGGACTATATAGGTAACCAAGTTTTCATTTATCTAACGTTTTCAACCCTCCATCCCCAAATGAAAAACAAAACAAAAACCTTTCACTGCCGCCCTAACCAGTTTAGTCTAGTGGATGGAGTGTTGGCCCGTGGACCAAAGGGTCCTGGTGTCGATTCTGGTCAAGGGCACATACATTGGTTGCAGGCTCCTCCCCAGCCCGGGTCCTGATCAGGGCTCGTGCAGGAGGCAATCAATCAATGTGTTTCTCTCACATCGATGTTTCTCTCTGTCTTTCCCTCTCTTGTCTACTTTCCTTAAAAATCAATGGAAAAGTACCTGCCTCGTCTCACTTTCTAGTATTAGTGGCCAGTGGAAGGAAGAGGGAGGGGGAAAGATGCTTGAAGAGACATACCACACACACGAACTTATTTGGGAGTCTGGGCAACAGTGGTGTTCCAGAGAGACTTGTCTGGGTCTTCGGTGGCCATTGCCCCGTAAGCATGGCTTCATATAGTGAGTTCCATGAGTCAGCAGAATATCTGTACAGAACGCCACCTTAGAGACCAGCAAGCCTGATTTTAGTCTCCGCTCTGCCATCAAAAACCGTCAGGTCGGGGGAGGAAGCTATGTGACTTCCCCTCTGGGACTTAGTTTCAATCCTCTTTAAAGGAGGGGGTTGCACAACGTATTTATAAGATTCCTTCTAGCTCTGGCATTCTGTGATTCTGGCAGAGATTGTGTCATTTGGGACTTGCTTCTCTCATTAAGCTGCATGTTAGTTGCTTGAAAAGTATTATTTGGTTAGCTTGGCCTAAAGTTAGAGCCGTCTCTTTTCCTGTCACCCTTTTGACTATTATATCCTTCTTTTCCTTGCTCAGATAAAACAAAATTCCTTCTCACTACCAGTGTTGGAAGCTGGAACTCCAGTTACCATTCTTCCTTGTTAAAAAAAAAACAAGCTGTCTTCCATTCCTACTGGGCTTGGGGCAAGAGACATTTGAAGGGGGGCTTGCCTTTGGTCTTGGAGCCTCATGGATCCAGTTATATGCTCCTCAATGGTAAGGACTGTATCACCCAGCTATTTTTTTTTTTTATCCACCCCTGTCGCTGTGCAAGGCAGCCAGTGTTCCATAAAGAAATACCGTCCCTGAATAAAATAGCATTACATTTCCCCCAAAACCACTAGATGTCGCCTTCATCTCAGAGAAACTATGCCCCCTCCTCTCTCCCTGCACCCCCACCTCCCACCCTCCCTCCTTCTACACAGGAGCTCTCTCAGCTTGGCACTCTGATTTCCGAAGTGGCTTGAAGGGGAAGACAATCTGTGGCTCTTGGCTGGGGGAGGAGAATGGGTTTATGTGCGTGTTCTTTATGACCACTGAGAAAAGCTCCCCAAGGTCCCCATGCTGTCCCTCCCAGCAATCATGATATCATCCCTCACAAGCTGTTCCTCAGAATCAGATCCGCACCCCAGGTACCGGGTCCTGGGGTGAGCCTTGTAGGTTGGAAGCTTGGGAGTGGGGTGGAACCTAAGGGGGGTAGAGTGGACGTCTGTTGTTGGGGGAATGTTCTGCTTAGTCAGTCCCTGAGCTTTTATGGGGTGCTGGCCTGTGCTGTGTGGGGAGACAACGGAGACAAGAGTCTGTTCTGAGCTCCTGCCCCGCAGCAGATGGTCTGATGGAAGCCCTGTGGGCTGTGGTGGGCCTCGGGGGACATGGGAGGGCACCAGAGGGTGGGGAGGGAAGAAGGAGATGGGAGCGTTGAGTCCTAAGGAAGGAGACTCATGGGCATTGTAAGGGCTCCGGAAAAATCGATCCTGGGCGCCTCTTGGTCCTTCCGGCACGCAGGCATGTCTCACTGGAGGAGAGAGGTTCCTGGAATGAGAAGGGTGGGTGACTAGGGGGAGGACTAGCGAAGATCCCAAATATTTGGGGGTTCCTGACTGCTTCCTGGAGGCTGGCGTATTTGAGGGACTCAGCCGAGTTAAGAGGGGACCCTACCCCGAGAGGGATCCTGAGGGCTGATAGGAGCGTGTGAGGCAGAGAGAGCCCGGGGGCCACGGGGGCAGGCCCTTAGGTGCAGGGACACCCGGAAACCTCGCCGGCCCGCGAGGCCCCGTGCGGAGCCCCGAGGTGTCCCGGGTGGGTTTGAGAGCTGGGAGGACCCGAGGTGGCCCCGTTGGGGGTGG